ATGTGGCCTCTGATAGACAGGAGAGGATGTATTGCTAGTAGTCAGAGGTGTCTGAAATGTGCAGAATCTGCTTGAAAGTATTGTGTTTTACTTAAAAAACAAAGTGTTATAGTTTACAGAAGGTCTACCTACCTATAGGCTACCTGAATCTCTGAAATGTACTATATTCCTAAATATGCTATTGCTACACTTTATGGCAAAAATTGCACTTTTCTGTTGGTCTTGGTTAAGAACCTCCTTGAAAAAAATAAACAATGTTTTGTTGCTTAAGCTTATGTATTCAGTCATTATTCAATGGTATACTAAAATCCATGTGAAAAAAATTGCTTCTCACTGTTCTCAGGTCAAATATTTATATGCGATTAAAAATGCGATTAATTGCGATTAATTAATTACAAAGCCTGTAATTAATTAGATTAATTTTTTTAATCGAGTCCCGGCCCTAGTTAAAACACAAATCTATTTATACATATAAATAACATAACAATTGACCTGTTGAGGTTGCCGTTGCTACTGGTGGAGCGATGTTAGATGGAGGCTTCAGTCTCATGAGCTCCATCAAACTGTTCCCTTTAAGACCAGTGCTCCTCACATTGCCAGTTCGGAGGAGGTCTTTCAGCTGAATTTGCTACAACAACAAAATAAATGTATATAAAATCAGAATAATCAAACTAAATGCATTTCTCTAAGCTGTTGTGTCCTTGGAATTGTAACCATGGTTTCCACAAACGTACCTGATCTCTGTTAGAAGGCACTACTGTCGGCGCTGAAGAAGGGGTACTTGTAGAGGATAGGGTTGAAGTTCCTCGCAAAGCTGAATTACTAACATGGACCACTTTGGTGACAGTTATGGTATGTTTGATGGGATTTGTTACTGATTGTTTGGTCACAGCAGCTCCTAGTGACGGCAACTGATTCAGCTGATTTAAGACAAACGTGGTGGTTGATGGCTGAGGTTTGTGCTGTTGAAGACATTGAGCAGAGAGAATAAATTACTTTAATACATAAAACAAAACATCAGCTGCAACTTAACATTTTCCTAAATAATTAATTAAGGGAGGTTGTTAATGTGTAATCTCACCCTGATAGTAACAATCGGTACTGGAACTGGAGGATTATTTCGAAAAACATCCACCGACTCTGTCCCCATACCACCCTCCAGGGCACTGATGGAGATAGACTGGAAGAGGAGCAAAAATCAGAACATTAACATATAGCTTTGATAACATTAAGAAAACTATTATCTTCCATTTGAACAAAGACCAACTTACTTGCTGGGTTGTGGAGGGCTGTGCAACATCCTGAGGATCAACATCAAAAAAGCCAAAATCATTTGGACAAATGCCACTCTCACTCAGGGCAGCGAGGAGTAAATCCTGTCCAGGATCCATCTGCAGGACAAGAATACATCTATTAATAACAATGATAAAATTATAAAAAAAGACAATGTTTAAGAATTAGCGGATTAAATCACTACACAAAACAATTACATTGTACATGTACACTGTATCTATAGAAAGATTGTCAAACATGTGGAGGCTTCTTAAAGTGTGAAAAGTTACAGCCACAACACAGACTGTATGAATTACATTAATGCACACAATGTACAACGATATCGGTTTTCTTCTTTTTATTACCGCCGATTTTTATTCCACATTTTATTCTATTGCGATGTAAATACTGTTATATTTTTCTACTTCTCTACCTGTGTTTTCAATACTTGTTTTACTTGTATGTATGCACCACGACACCAAGTCAAATTTCTCATACTTGTAAACCTACCTGGTAATAAACCTGTTTCTTGTGGTTATTGCATGTGATGAAGAATAATTCCTTTGTTAAAAAAATCCCACGCGAATTGTCTTCTACCAAACTCAAACATTTTCACAACATAATGCATGCACACAGCAACACTAGCGAGTTCAACATTTGAGTTGTAAAAAGCACAAAGACATTTCTTCCCAACTGTACTGACTATATGCAAATCGAGGAGTCGTTATGTATTAAAAGGGAGTGGTGTGTGTAAATAAAACAATGGAAAAGACAAATATAAAGAATACATGTCTATCTGCCCCAGAGGTTACCAGATGAGGCTAACAACTACAAGCATATCATCAAACTAATACTTAGTTTAAACTCTATGTAGGATAGCCATAAGGGAAGCAATGCAACTGATCATTCCTACAAAAACAAAAACATAACAGAAATGTGACCCTCAAAAAACACATGAACTATACAAAAAAAAAATACCAAAAGGGATATTAGGACCCACATGTGTGGTACACGCATGAGATGAAACACGGAGTGCGATTTAAAATTCAATGCCCAGTTTCCCAAAGAAAAACTAAGATGTCATGTGTTTACCTTCACCATTAAAAGACCAAACGTGTATAGTGTACCTATAACACACGGTATTTCAATCCAACGTAAGCATCATAATACACCTATTTAAAACGTTCACCTCGCCGTATCTCGTCCTGCAGAGCACGCCGAAAATGATATTAAAAACGTAACACTGAATCGAGATACCTAAATTCACTCCAAATCCAGACAAACTATGTAGAGGAAGGAGAGTTGGCCATATCTAACAGCAGCGTCTGCAGACCAGGTCAGACTTGTTCCAAAGTGACCCAAAACAAGACACGTGTTTGCAATGCCGTGCTCTAGTGCCTACAACTTCCTGGTCCCTCTGACTCTAACGCCCCCGACCTCCAAGCTGGCTCCGTAGGATGCTAATTTTAATAAAAGCAGGCACATATGATGTATGATGGGACCAGGCTTTTAGAACGCTGATGTATTTCAACAAATGTATTTGGAACCAGCTAACCTTTGCCTTACAAGCTGCCATACCATCTAGCTTGTTAAACTAGCCTGGGTAAAGCAGGGTGACACGGCTAAACTGTGCTAACAGAGAGCTAACGTACTAAGACAGTTTCACATTCATTTCAGAGACACAACAGTGAGGACAAACACCTTAATGCCCAACAACAAACTACAATTTTAAGAAAGCTTTGTGTCATTAACGGTCATCACGGAGACACACATGTCAGTTAGCTTTTAACGTTATCCACACTGAGACCAATTACTAATATTGTGTTAATACCTGGTATTTAGTCGTGGTTTTGGGTTACATAATAAGCTGTTGACATTAAACGCAACAAGTTCATAAGATAAAACTTAATTTATCCCAAGGGGAAATGGTTGTTCCACAGTTGCAATACAACGTGGGGAAAGTATAACTACACAGTGAACTTGAGCTATTTTCATTATGTGTGCATTTAATGTCAAATAGAACGGTATGTTGTAATCGTTATGTTATAATAACTCAATACACATATTTGTCAAGTAGAAGTTGACAGTAAATGGTGGAATACAGAATAAACAGGTTGAAGGTAAGGTGCAATCCAAAGCTAGCTTGTTTTCGCTAACATGATACGTTGCTAAAATAACACTAGCCAGCTTATACAGCACTAACAATAGGTGTTCAAAACAGCGTCTAAACCTTACATTTGAGTGTGTCCTTCCTCAACCTTATCCCCATACAGAGGCAGGGTTCGGCGGCGGGGTTCAGCTATCAGCCCCCTAGCATTGTTGTGATGTTGTGCTCAGTGTCATTGCTGTCGCTAAGCTAACATTAGCAACGAGGAGTAAACGTACACCTTAAAATTGAAATATATAATACTTTCTGTAAACGTACTACCAAGCCCCAACACATTTGTGTTAATAATAACCGGGGCTTTAGTGTTAAAACTAACAAATCCCCAGGCTGAAATCAACTCACTTGACAGTTCAAGAGCTGCTCTCTCTCGCCGCTCCGGTTCGGCAGTTTGTTGTCCTCTTCGCTCCGCCGCTCTCACGCCATCTTTTTTTATAAAACGCTCAGCCGCATGCTGGTCACGTGACGCGAAGGCCCGTTTTCGCAGTCAAACTTCTCGCCCACCGTCGGTAAAAATGGGTCTCTGGAAAGCCGAGGGACGTCCTTTTGACACGATAAACCGATAAAAGCGAGTAAGTTAGCATTTCTGAAACGTTAGCACAAACGACAAACATAGCAGAGTCAGCGAGCTAATGCAACATCACGTGACCACGCGAGATCTTCGTAGGAAGTGACGATATTTTTTTTTCTTCTTCGCTGTTCTCTTCCTTTTTGTTTTTCCATCCTCTGCTTATTTTTATTTTACTGAGTTCTCTTTAAACATTCATGCTTATTTCCCTCCAGCAATATTCAACTTGTATTATCTGCATCTTCATCTTATATTTTTTTGTGACCAATTGTGTATTTGTTTACCTCCCCCTCCCCTTTTGGATCATGATGGCAATTACACATAACATGGAAATAATCACTTAAATACGCAACACAACCAAAGACATACGAAAAATTAAAAAAATACAAATAGCACATTTCCCCCCACAATATTCATGTCCCAAAAGCATCCACAAACCCAATTAAAACACTAAAATAGAAGCAATTTAAGCACTAAAATTCTTCACAATAATAATTGTAAAAAACATGTATTTATTATAACATTCAGTGGTGGATGAAGTACTCACAACTTATACTTAAGTACACTTAATAATAAAATACTGTAAAAAATACTCTGTTACAAGTAAAAGTCCTGAATTCAAAATCTTGCTCAAATAAAAGTATTAGCAGCAAAATAAAATTGAGTACCAAATCTAACAGTATTCCTTATCCATTCTTGGAATAACATTTATATCACTGGAGTTTATAAAGTCTATAGTATACCATACTGTATTAGTTGATTTCATTTTTGTATTCATAATATTAACCTGCAAAATTAACTATTAACAAATGCTATCAAATTAATATAGAGGAGTAATAAGTACAATATTTGCAGCCAAAATGTAGTAGTGTCTGCATGTTTCTGTGAAAAAAATCCTAAATTAATATCAACAATTTATAATGTTTATATGTTATCTAAACGCAGTACCGCTGTCGGCATACAGGGAGCGACATTGCCGCGCCTCCCCGTCTCCTTCATTCTCATGGAGAAAGATGGCGGAGAGGAGCTGTGGAGGCTGCATCGGCTGAGCTGCTGGCAGTTCAAACAACAAAACACGGGCTCACAGTCACCGTGGAAGGGGGCCGGAGGGAAGGGAGGGCACTGCCGTGTGAGCAGGGCGAGGTTAATCTCTGACCCGGCCGAAAAGTTCATTTATATTCTTTCATCGAAACGAAAAAGAGCCGAGCGGAGAAAGCCACAAAAACAAGTCGGACATGAACGGGGTAAGTTTGCTTGTTTCAGGTCCTAACGAAACGAAAAGCTAATTAAGTTGTTTTTTACGCTTCTTTTTTCGAGATAGATTCAATTTTTTTGCATTAAAATCAAGATAAAAACAAACGGAGTTATCTTTATTTTGGCTGTGAGTTACTTACAGTCGGTTTATGTTGAAGTGCTTTGCTAACATTAGCTTTACGTTACATGTGTCTGCTGTCTGAGAGCATAAACATGATTTAGGACACAATACGACTCCAAGAAACGCGCATGTGTCGTTTTTTCATATAAGTTAGTCGTTTGAAAAGCAGATGTTGAGGGGTTTTAATTTTTTTATTTGAGTGGATTTGACCAGTAGATACTGGGCCAAGAGGCCTGTTAATTTAAAGGGACTGATGGCAGAGTGGGTGTGGGTGTGGAGCCAGCATGTTTCCCTCCTCAGGGCCCCACCCACTGCTGGACATTTACACAAGTACTCCATACATAGTACACATAGTACAGCTCTATTATACGCGTTTTTATATTTATCCTGCACTATATTTGTTTGACAGCTCTAGTTACTTTTGAATTTTACACGTTGTCAATGTCATACCTCTCCATTCTAGTGTCAACCATACATCTCAAGATGTGTTGATTTTATTGTTTGTGATAAACTGAAGTGTTCTTTAATAGGTTAGAACATAATACTACTTCTACATACAAATATTTTCAATCTTGAAAAATGCATCATTGCTGAGCTGAAAACAGGGCTGTTATTCTGAGATCTTATAAAGTTTACTTGTATATACCAATATATGACGGTTACATGTCATTTGTCGCTTTTATCCAAAGCGACTTACATACTCAATACTGTGGGCAATCCCCACAGGACCAATTTGGGGTGAAGTGTCTTGCCCAGGGACACAATGACATGCATTGGGGTTTGAACCTGTTCACAAGGCAGGAAGCATGCACTAAATACATTTCTCCCTACATTCACAGGATATTGTTTGCAACAGCCATTCAGTCACTGTCCGAAGCAGCACCAAGTCCATATCTGCAGTCCACGATGAGATCAAGCTGACCCAGGAGGGAAGATGCTCTCCAGTCTGCTTCCCGCAGAATGATGCTCGGAGGCTGGGAGAGGGTGAGTGTCTCTGCAGCTCAGTAGAGACGAGTTGTAACACTGCGCAGGAGAGCTAACACACCTCTGTTTATCTTTCAGTAGATTACGTAATAGTTGGCAGAGAGAAGAAGAAGAAACCACACATTTGAATGAAGCTAAATCTTTATTTACCTATATTATACCTAGCATCCATTTGACCCTTTTCTATCCTCTGTAACCTCTTAAGTGGAGACTTTTTAAAAAGCTGCTGACCCCTTTTTCGTTTGAAATCTTCTAGTACTTGTTTTAGTCTGGATGGGCAGAGAAGGAGACGTTTAAAAACAAGACAGAGACACACATGTTCGATCCTGTTTTTGGTCTCCTGTAAAAAGAACATTATTGCTACGCTTGCATATCTTTTATGATTCAATGTGTTTGTACTCTTTACCTATTGCCCTGGTTCCCCTCGTGATGGAGAATGCTCTTGGTACCGAGTCATATGCACAGTAGCTACACTGTAGTTAGGGCAATGAAAAACATCCCGGGCCCCTTTAACGATGCAACATAAATGTATATAAGACATAAACAATACAAAAGAGTTAAAAAAGAAACAGAGTCTAAATAAAATGCAAGAGAATGTTGCAAGCGACCAATTTGCAATTGAATGTGTTAGAAGTAAACTATATACAGGTCAAATAGTATAATATTAGCTAAAACAGAATACTGTTTAGTCTAATAACAAATGAATATGTGAAATGCAAACAGACAAATGTTTGAAGTCATGAAGGCACTTTACTTCTATAATATATCGACAGATTAGCTTTCCAATGACTCTATTTATGTTTGTTGCCGCTTTTACCGCCTTATGCTCATTGTTCTCTTGAGTAACAGTTCCACTTCACAGTGCTCCTCCTACTCCATAGCATTCTCTTCTTAAAGGCTGGCGTTTAGACTATTCTTTCATTCTCTCTTTTCTTCCAGGCAGGAGAACCAACTCGATCAGCGCCACACCCAAAGACTCAAAGACGGATTTCCCAGAGATGGAGAGCAGCAACAGCCAGTGTTCACCCTGCTGGCCAGATGAACATCCTCCGCAGCTCCACTGCGCTCAGACCTGCCTTCGCTCCCCCTCTGAACTCCCCCTGCCTCTGGGTAACAGCCTGTCTCACGCGCCCCTCCACTCCAACAACAACAACAGCAGCACCCTCCACAGCTACCAGAGGAGAGCCGCCCTCCTCAAAGGGAGGACGTCCGCCAAAAGAATGTACGCACGTCCTGAGTATTCATGCCTTTTTTTATGAAGAAATCGAATAAGACAACGTTATAGTGTGATCGTGTTTCATATATCTCATGTGATTTCTGTTTTTGCTCTCCAGTGCAAGTGGGAAAAACTCCCAAAACCGAAAAGTTACCGATTACTATCCAATAAGACGAAGCTCAAGGAAAAGTAAAACAGAGCTACAGGTAAGACACAATTACTTCTGTTCAAATGAAACATAATAAATATATATTTGTTGTGATTGAAATTTGAAATACAATTGGATTTTATATATGTATATAAGTATTGGCATTGATATAATGTATCATATTACTTCTGGAGTTACTGACAGATACATATTTTTGCTTCAATCAAAGTAATTACACAAGCAACACCAAATCGTCTGATTCAAATGTAATCAGGATGGATCTCCGTAATTATCTCATCTTATATCTTTCTTTTGATTGTGTGAAATTCACATGCTTCTTATATAATAATAATCCTTACATTTATTATAGCGCTTTTTCAATGACTCAAAGCGCTCCTTACAAACACACATGACACATACATATCATACATACATGTAATGATCATGTACTGTGGACAATACCCACAGGAACAAATTCAGGTGAAGTGTCCAAGGACACAACGGCCTGACGCAGTGTGGATGTGTGTCTTGGTGCTGTGTGTGAGAGGAGAGAGAGAGAGAGGAATACAATCTGCTCTTCGTCACTAACGCCCTCTCGTGTTGCTTTGTGTTTCCAGTGTGAAGAAAAGAGACACATCGATGATCTCATCACAAAGGGAATAGAAGAAGGAATGGAGGTACGTACGTTTCTTTCACTCTTCAAAATAAATGTCTTTAATCATGCTAATTGAGCACTCAAATAAAAAACAATTAATCAGTTTCACACACATGTCACTAGCCTTTTCACACTCTGCTCCCACTTAACAGGATGTGTTAATTACATTGAATGAATGAAACTTTCTCCTATGATAGAGAACATTTAAGTAGAGATTTTAAAGTGATCACATGATTAATCACATCTATGACCAGCCTCAGCAATCCTACATTTAACTTTGTGATTATGCTATTTGGAAAATGCACATCTAATTTAAATATTCAAGAAAAGTAGATTTTATTTGTGCAAAATTATAAATATCCCTGCTAGCATTTATCATGTAAAAGTAACAACAATCATAATATGTAATGGGATTAATATATCTGGATTGAATAAGAGAAAAGTATCTGAAATTGGGACAAAAAAGATGAGAACATTTGAGGAAAGGAATTTTGCTGCTTGTAGATAAGGTACATCAGAGAAAACGCAGCAGAGTGTCGTCCATAGGAAAAGTATTGCAATCAAAAATGCAGTTTTATTTCACAGCTAATCTTATTCTGCTACAAAACAACCAAAGAAAAAGTGGTGAAATATTGCATCACATTTTCAAAGTAAATGGACTGAGTTATACATATTACTTTTATTTTGTATTTACCCTTTTGTTTTATGATAGCCAACCTCTCATTCTGTTTTGTAGGTGCAGCATATTGAAGGAAAGGGGAGGGGGGTGTTTGCCACTCGGTGTTTCCAGAAAAGTGAGTATGTGGTGGAGTACCACGGAGACCTGCTGCAGATCACCGACGCCAAACAGAGGGAGGCGGAGTACGCCCTGAACCCCGCCACCGGCTGCTACATGTACTACTTCCAGCACCTCTGCAAAACATACTGGTATGATCAATCAGTGCATGACCACCACAACATTTAAATACATCGCAGGTCAAAATACATTAGCTGAGGTTTTAAGTCCTCATCAGAAACCAAAACGCAGTCACGTTTTTATTTTCCTATACTGGTTAATGTTTACCTATTCATATCAAATATTTTGTCAGTCTGTCACAAAAGCCTTACAAACATAGCAAAGACCTTTATGCTTGATGATAAACATAACTTTTATTGTGGAAAGAAATACAGGTCAGACTGTTAAGATATATTTATTTCCCCTATAAATAAAAAGTTATTCTCGAGAGTCAAAACAGGGTTTGAGTCGATGAAAATCTACTCCTAATTATAACTAAGAAGAGTACATTGTATGTCCTTATTGAATTAAAATGTTAGTAGCCGTTCAGGTGTATTTAATATCTGCGTTTTGTTTCCACAGTGTGGATGCCACAAAAGAGTCTGGTCGAATGGGTAGGTTGATAAATCACAGTAAAATCGGAAACTGCCAAACCAAACTCCACGAAATCAACGGGGCCCCTCACCTGATCTTCGTTGCCTCTCGAAACGTCGACGAGGGCGAGGAGCTGCTCTATGACTATGGAGACCGGAGCAAAGCCTCCATCGCAGCCCACCCCTGGCTCAAATACTGATCCTCTAAAGAAAGGAAAGGGAAACACACAGTAACACTTGTGTTTCTCAATAGCTAGTGTACAAAATGCCTTAGAAACAGAATGTGTACCCTTTTTGTTCAATAATGAGGAAGTGGGGGGGGGGCGGGTTAGTGTTCAGGGGTACTTATCACATTTCGATTAATGTCTTTCTGCCTTGTCAGAGGACACCTGTACTTTTATTTATGTGTATGAAACGTTCTTGTTGTTTTGCAGCATATTTGTTTTGTACATTTTGTATTACCTATAGACCAATGCTTCTACAGCATGTAGGTGGTAGTTAATGCTCTGCAATTTTATACTGCGTTTTTCTTAATCAGTAGTTAGATACTTAGCAATACTTACGAGGCCCCAGAGCCCTGTTTTGGATCAGCGAGAAGACGAGATGCAAAATATGTTGGTGTTCTAGTGGAATTAGATTTCAGCCATCCAAACTCACACAATCTACCGCTAAGCGTAACAGTTTACCAAACTCATGGTTCAGTTGGTATTTTTGGTCTTGATGACAAATCAACATTTGACGCTCGAGTATTTTACTTTTTTGAAGTGTATAATAACCTGATGTTGAACATGGAGGCTTTAAAGATTACATAGGAATACTAATGAATAATCTTTTAACCTATATTGTATTTTATAATATTTAAGATTCACAATAAACATCATCAAAGGCCTACACTATATTTGGTTAAAATAAACATGTATATAATATCTACTAATATAAATGAAATTTAATAAATGACTTAACACAGGAATTTAGATTTGACATTTCTACATAAACTTTCAAATGTATCATTATCGTAACATGTAAATATAGTTATTGGCTAGTTTCAAATCAAAGGGTGGTTTAAAGGATAGTTTTTACTTTTTTTGCTAAGAGGTCATGTTTGATATCAAAGCTAGTCTGGGTTGCTAACACCCCAAATCGTCTTAAAGTAGCATAATTTTGAATTCCCATATTCAAAGGAGGGGGAAAGGACCAAAACAAAGTCTCAAAATAGCTAAAATGATCAATAGCTGACCTAAACGGTTCACGTTAAAATAAAATAAAGGTTCATCGTGATTGAAACTGCTCAGGCTGTTGGTTAGCTGCTTTCCCCCGTTTCCAGTCTCTATGCTAAGCTAAACTAAGCTAACCATCTCCTAGCTGTAGATTCCTATTTAACCAACACGGACATGCCAGAAAACTTTATGCAAACATTTTTGCTGCAAAGTTTTGCATTTTTAGGTATATTAAATGCAAACACACACCAGCCTCTCCAACATGTCCTGTGCTGCCATGTTTTTGGTGAACTGTTACACTATTTCGGTAAATCGTAGACTTTTGCAGGTTTTCTACACAACCGTTCTTCCCTCTAACAAAAATATTGTTCATATTGTTTAATGTGAAAGTATTTAACAGCTGAACCGCCAACAGGTCATTTTTTTATTTTATATTTTTGCGTTTCCATTTAATTGTAGCCAGAAGGTAAAATATACCCCAAAGTGCTCCTATTTAGCTTTTATTTATCCTCATCTAGAAAATCTAAATATTATTAGCATTTTAGCTAATTGGTAGTAGGTATAATCAGTATTAATTAAAGGAAAATACCACAGTAAAATGGCCACATCAGCAGTTCTAAATCAGTTTATATTATGTGTATCTTAACTATGTACACACAACATGCATCATCACTTTCTCTAGCATTATGGAATTATAATGTATTTAATACCTTTTTCTTATTATAGGTTTGTACTATTGCTAGAAAATTATAAATCATTTTTAATTATCAGTTTAGTATATTGATTTTGGGGCTCTGTGTTAAAGGAATATTTGGACTTATCTTTAATTACTCCTACTTGCTTATCCTCTTCTCATCTTGCTCCTGGACAGAAATTGATTTTGCATATTTACCAAAAATGTTAATTTCTGTACGATCTCAGAATTTAATATTTTAGCAAAACAATGCTAAAAGTTAGGCTGTTGTACCAAATCTTATCCATCATTTCTCGATGCATCTCTGTGGCTGTTGAGGTTGTACAGATATAAACAAGTGTTCAAAAATCATGAAAATACTTCTTTAAGTATCCAAAATATTCAGTATATTATTGAAATTGCAGGATTATTTTACATACCATATAAAAGCATCGTCAGTGTTAATACAAACACCAATCTTAAGGTACGTTTCAGGTAACACACATTTGGACCTTCCTTCTCCACACTAACGGTAGCATTGTGTATAACAGGTGTGAAATGATTACATGTGAGCCTTTTCTTAAACATGTTACATTTTGGATTTCTAAAATACATTTGATGGTTAATTATAGAATTTATGGAATAATACCAGATGGAGCAAAACTGACCTGTTGGCAATTTTTAGGATTGAATAGATCTTTGCTGTTGTAGCGTTAAATAAATCTTAATGCTGGGGTTTAGGCATCGATGAATAAAGATGTATTATGCAAGTTACAGAAGTTGTCTGGTTTGTTTTTTGGGTTAATATACTTGTTTAGATTTGTTTCAAATGAGTAAGAATGTTGCTTAAGGCTATTATTTCTCACATAAGGGCCTCAAATCAACTCGAGCTGCATTTACGTTGTCCCATTTATGCAAAATGATGATATTATAGCAAGGTACACAGACATAAATTGTTGTTTTTGCTTATGAAGGAATAGCAATGTACCCTTTACAACTATACAACATTACCAAACGTAGAGATTAAATGTTTTACTGGACAGGAAGGGAATGAAACATTGTAATCTGAAAAGGAACATAAATATTCAGACAAATAAATGTAGCTCAGTAAAAGTGAATAAAACGTGTATATTGTTTGTGAAGTACACTGTTGCATGAATTTAAATATGGAAACATAAGTACTTGAGTAAATACTTTGCAATCCACCACTGCAGAGAATTACCAATGAAAAAACAACAGACAGACATGACAGAAGTTTTATTATTTTGGAGACATGTTTACATATAAGCCAGCTCTTTTAATAAAGCACTGATTCAATCATCATAATATATTAAATATCCATTTGAATCAGGGAAACAGGTGAGGGATAGTGATTAACACTGACTTCAATAACACAACTTGTTGGTTGACCAGATTTCCCTTTTCATGAGTTTAGCTTTAGCTATGATCTCATATGATACTGTCTCATCATTATATTCTTTTTAGGATTATGAAGCTGCTTTGAAGCTCATCATTTTGTTCCTGTCAGTTAACATTCCTTTATTCTACCTCTGTGGGTGAGTACAAATAAAGATAGTGCCACTACTATAAAAACATGTCCACCACATACCCTCTTTCAGGGGGAAGAACTCTGTCAGTGTTCAGCCTGAAGGGAAACTAGAAGCAGAAGCATTCTTTTTCAATTAAAATGTAAACCACACTTCAGCTTTAACCACTTTCTGTCATTTCTAACCTCTGGGATGTCTTCTAAAAAAAATCTAAGGAACATTTATATGTTACTTATAATGTATCAATATGATTTTATAACATTCATATCATATGAGCTTTGAAACCAGCGTTTACACACCTTACTAGTAGTTGTTTAATAAACCCACATGTACAGGAGCATTTTGCTGAGTATTCTCTACTAAATGTACAAACAGTTATATATTTGGGGTATTGACAAATGATGTAAGTTGCTTTATAAAAGTATTTGCTTTATATTGCCTTGGTTAAACCTGCAGAATACAACTAAAACATTTCCCTTGGGCATAAATACTATATCCCTTTGTGCTTTAATAAAAATCTTGTATGCCACATTTAGGGGAAGACACTCGTGATTTTTAAGGCTTTAATTATAATTAAATTAAAAGTTATGATTATCTTATATTTTGACTTATTGTCAACTATTTCTTAAAACCAAACCAAAGTCAAAGTGTTGGGGTTTTCAACATAAGACATATGTTTAAAAACAGATATTTCTTTTTGTTGACGATATGTAAAACAAAGAGTGCCACCCGGCTCATCCTTTAAGCTTGCTCTAAAGAAGATAATAAGTTAAGAGGTAAAGTCTCACACAGGCATCTTGTTTGTGGAGTTGAATACTGACTGGCTGTTTTTATAAAGTCTACTTTCACTGAAGTGCTTAAAGGTCATGAGGTATCTGCAGAGCTCATTCATGTGTGTTTTTACAAAGAGAAGGTCAAAATACTATAACCTGCTTGTTGCTGGTAATCGGAAACTGGTGTTGTTATAAAATTGTTTGAATTAAATGCAGATTTGGCACTTTTAAGCCAAAAATGGGGATTAGGCTTTTCTGTTCTTTTCATTATAACGTTGAGTAAGAAGCGTTTATTTACTTTTGGTAGCCTAAGAAGAAAAATAAATGTGTCTCATGATTGAACAAAACATATTTATATACTAGATACAGACTCACAATAGTATTTTCATATATACGTTTTGACATACCAAATACAAATAAAAACGTGTGTCTGTTTTAATTACTAGAGTCTAAATGTTGTCTCATTGTTTGGACTCAACATGAGTATTCTAATTGATATCACAACAAACCCTTTATGTATTTCTCTCTTTTCTTGGCAAAAATGTGCTTCCATACTTACTGCATGTAGCATGATACATATTCTGAATAATATTGCTTTTTTAAATTAAAAGCACTTGTTACTTTTATTTATAAATATTTTTTCTGTACACATCTTCATATTGTGATTCTATGCAACATTTGACACACAAAGCCTGCTCTCTGTAGTTTGTGGAGCTGCACGGTTTGAATCTGCTGAAAGTGCTGGTGATGGACCGATGAGCTGCTCTCGTGAACAAGGAAGAGGGAATTCAAATACATCAACCAGAAACAAAAGGGTTGCTCTCATTTTGAGAAAATGTCAGTGATGTGCGTTTCCTTTTTTCTATGGGGATTCTCATAAACACTAAAACCCTCATGTTTCATAAATAATATGCATACAAAATCATATACGGGCCATTGTAGGTGAAAAATGAAGAAGAAAATATACTGCATGGGGCTGCAGGAAGGGGTAATATCCAAGATGAAAGTAATACATTACCAGAAGATATATTCTATCTTGCAAATGTATGACTTCATAATCTTATAATTGTTTTCTGATAACATGTTAAATTCATATTCTCATACATTTACCATTGCAATTTCAGAGTATATCTGACTTTTCTTATACAAATATACAACTTTAATGTCAGAAATTCGGAGTTACCCCCCCTCCCCCGGCCATGTTATTTGTTTTCACCTACAATCGTTTTTATGAGCCGTTACTCCAACATTTGAATTCATGATTTCTAGACAGAAATATGCAGCACACCTTCATCTGTGTCATAATGTTCCCCCCCCCTGTTTACCAACACATCTTGAACCAACGTTCCACTTTCCGTCCTACAACTTGAGTTTACCTTCTAGGGATCACTTAAATCTCGTCTGCCTCTGTAAAACAACAACACCATTTCTAAAATGTTTAAAGTCTGTATGTGCCATCCCTCATTGAGATATACGGTATGGATATATATAGTATTCTCAGGTGTTTAAATAAATGTATATCCAAGCTGTAGCATAAGTCAAGTTGAGTCTTCTTTGTGTCTCACCTCTCAGGGTATTGTCACAGTGTGGGTCACTGATCGTGGTTTTGGTGCAATCGACGCTTCAAAGCCTCGGGGGATGGACATGGAGTGTAAAGAGTTTTGGGGTTTGTCCAGTCCCGTCTTTACAGCTGCGGTAACGCCTCCTGGGCTTGTTCTGTGTACACGTCCTCCTTCCCCGTCCACGAGCTGAAGCTGCCGTCAAACTGCCCGCTGCGCTGCAGCTGACGCTGCTTGTCCCGGGAGAAGAAGCTAAACCTGTAGAGGAGAGGAGAGAGAGGCTTCAGTGGGAGGATGTGACAGTGACTTTGGTTTAGAGTCAATGTGTGCAGTGAACATCAGTCATTTGTAAAGCAGTGTTAGCAGTTATGGCATTTCAAACTATTATTCCTGGGGAAATTAATTGTGATTAATTGGTATCAATGCTGAAACAAATGAGATTTAGCTGCTCCTGATATTTAAAACCACATTTCCTATAAATCCCAGAGCTTCCTGCAGCAATGTTGTTTTATCCTTCCTTCTTTCTCTCTTTCTTTCTTTCTCTAAATTGGCACCCAGAGAATTCACCAAAGACAAAGACAGATCCTTAACCTCAACACCTGTTACAATACGCCGCAACAAAATCAAGTACTTACAGAAAATAGGCAAAGAAGCAAGCTAATGCCAAATCGAACTTCAAGGATTTCATCCATTTCCATTTGACTCATCATCAAAAGGGATTCCTTTACTTTACACTGTGATCAGTTTCCTTCCAATAAAATATAATAAATAAATACAAATACAAAAATAAATGAACTAATAAAGATGGAAGTATGACAAAATACACATTTTACTTGTTACTTGTACTCAACATTTCTTTAAAGGGTATATTAAACACAAAAGAAACATAGCAAAATAACCAGATTCAAATATATAACGTTCCTTTCCCATTTATTTGTTTACATATAATATTGATGTATTAAATGTAATGCTACCCAGGTTATGTTTAATACCTTTTTCATTAATGCACAAAACAAACATTTGAAAGATTAAAGATTATTTAAGAATACTTTTAGAGTTAATTGTCTGTTACAAGTTGTTTAATCACTAACTATTGCAAAAAGAGCTAAAAGCACTTTAGCTTGTAAATTAAGACAGTAGTATTATAAGTGTAGAGGTGCAGACATGTTACTGCGGTCAGTGGGGAGGAGGAGGGGGGGGGTCGTGACGACGACAGGCTACATGTACATTCTGACTGGCTGATTTCTATGATCCCAATGGACAATGATAAAGAGACAGCCCCACAATCAGCCAATCAGAATACTACAAAGTGGGAAAAGGAGCCGGCACATGCAAAGGGAGAGAGCCTAGCTATTCTGAAGCCAATCAAATATGGAGTCATACAAGCGACATGAGACGTCTGATTGGCTGTAAAGTGGGGTCGTCAGGGATCAAACCAGCCGCAACCATCGGCATAATGGCTGTGAAGATCCTGTTACACAGAGGACACACAGTCACAAACAGGAAGAGATATATAGAGAGGGGCGGGGGAGACGGACAGGGGGAGACAGGGATCAACCTTTGACCTCTGACCCTCATGTAAAGTGTATAAAACCAAAAGAGGTCATGCTTTAGTTCCTTTTAGTGTAAATAGAAATAGAGTGAATCCTTTTTTTGCAACACAGTGGTTTTGTGTGGGTAGCATGCTAATCTCTAACCATGCACACACAGGGTCTGATACAGCTGGAAGGAAGAGCCAAGTACACTTGTTGCACATGCAGATAAATGAAAGTAAGATGATTTACACAAAATAAAATGACTGACCATGTGATTATCTGCTCTCACATAATGGAAGTAGTCTTTAAACCTAGAAATGAGTCAATGTTTTTTGAAATAATAGTCAGATAGATTATTTGAGAATGTGAATAGCAGCTCTGGGATTTCATGGCGGACATTTATTCTATTTTGAGAAACTTTATAACTAAACAATCTATTTAAACAAACCTTAATGTTATCCTAATTTCTGCCTTCATTTCTTTCTGAAATCTCACTTCATTGTTAAACATAGAACACGTTTCTCTACAATGTTTTATAGTGTTTCCTTGTCACATCATTTGTCCCCTTTTCCGTTAGTTATCAGAACACACAAGACAAGATTCAGCCTGTTTTGTTTTTTACAGAGCCCTCAGATCTATGGCATGAACCAGAGCAGCACGCTGAAGCAGAATGCAGCACATTAAGATACATGCTGTATTATCTCCCGTTTGTTTACACAGGCCAAACAAACACAGGAAGCGGGGTGCATGGACAGTACGAGCTGTTCCCACTTAAAGTTGCTGAAAGATATTCTTTTAGTTGAAACACAAATATTTCTGTGGTTAGTCTCCATTTGGTAATGTACCAGACGGAAATAGTCCCAGATTGTACTGCTACTGAGAAAATCAGGGGTTATTTATCTGGAGTTTAATAATAAATAAAATAATAAAATTGTATTCAAGGGTGCCTTTCATGACACCCAAGGACACCGTACAATTTATTTAACTTGAAATATCCTTTGAAATAAGCCTTAACTCAACGCATGCAGAGCCATTTGAGTTTTCTAATCTCAAAGTTAAGGAAGGTAGTCGGTGATAGTGATTTCAGGAGCCTGTGAATCGGAGGGAGTGTGATATAGGAGTGAAACATACAGGCGTTTGATTCCTGACTCTGGCTGGGCTGAAGACCGGGAGCGACTCCTCAGTTCAGGAGAAGGAGACGGAGAAGGAGTAACCATGTCATCTTCTGTCTCCTCACTGCAGAGAGAGATGAATGATCAATAACAGTAATGATGTGATCATCTCCTCAGATGGACATGTTGGTGCATGTGAACACCTCTTGTAGTAGGCCAGCTCCTCCTGCAGCAGGAACACTTTGGCCTTGAGCTCGTTCCTCTCGTGGAGGACGTCCCTCAGCTCCTGCAGGGTGAACCGAGGCCGGTTGGGGTCCTTTGGGTCCAGACCCCCCGTCTCATCCTCACATAGCGCCTCCTGTGGACAGGTAAATGCATCACAGGGAGGAAACAAACCCCCAAAAAAAGGAAGCAAGGAAGGAAGGAAGGAACAAAGGCGGGTAGGAAGTGAGGATACCTTTGTAAAATATTGGAACACAGCAGGCATGTCCTCATCGCACATCGCCTCCTGGTGGCAAACATTGAACTCTAAGTCAGAAATCCGGCCTTGTTCCAATACATTTGTTCGCCCTTCCCTCCTCCCTTTAAGCTAAAGCTTGTTTTTTTTTTTTGTAGCACTCAGGTTACATTCAACATGACAGTTAAAAACGCCTACAAGACCTCAACAATACATGCAGCTGACATGCATTGAGCAAACAACACAAACCATAATTCAAACATAAACATATGCAATTTTAATTTATTACTTTGTTTGGAAAACATCATAAATAGCCCTTTTTCCTCATCTGGCTGAACTCAACAAAGTAAACACACAACACATCTTGTCGTAGTCCTTAACACTGTTGTGTTATTTAAGTCAGTGCTTTTCAATGTGCTATGAAAAAGTCTAAATATCTCAAATAAATCACACTTGGATAAAATTAAATAAATATGTTAAAAATGTCTGACAAATTGCAAACAATTCTGGAAAAACAAGTATCTTGTTTTGCAATGGTTTATGGTAAACTAACTGTTTTTCTTGATGAATCAATTCCTAATATTTACATAACAGTGATGAATGGAAAGATGCACTGATTTGAAATGTATTTGCAACGTTTTTGGGAAAGAAAATCAAGAAACTGTGCCAAATGATGTTGAGAAGTTTGTTGAATTTGAAGGAATTCTTGACTATAATGTTATAACCTATCCAAATACAGTTTAAAAAGAAGCAATTTGATGGACTGTTTGGGAATCAGTCATTCAACTACATAAACAGAGAACTCTCAAATTGATATAAAAAAAGGAAAGCAGAAGGAGAACACGAGACACGAGACTTACAGAGCTGTAAAACAATGCAATCTTGTCTCCGTTGGACCTTTCTATTCAGAGTTTCAGGATCATGGTGCACTAAAGGACAACTTCCAGTGCTGTTAGAGGCCAGACTGTCGGGTGGGCTATATTTATAAAAGGTCGTTCATAAAGTCTCACCCAGTTGGCTCGAGGAGCGACAAATCCTACTGACACACACTCTGTTGTTAGTTCTTTAACACCAAGCTGTTTCTCATGGGTCATACACATGTTAGTCTACTAGCTTCCTTTCTACTGATACAGTTGTGTTAGTCTGGGAGAGGGGGGGGGAAGGGGGAGTGCAGTTTGGAGTTAGAGTCGGACACTCACACCACTCTGGGTTGCTAACTAGCACTTCAGTATTACCCAAAGCAACACTGCCTCGTCCTCCTCATCCCCTTCCTCGTGTCTCTCTGGGCTGAGGGAGCCATACAGGGGAGAGTCAAAGCCCCCCAACATCAGCTCAGAGGGGGCAGCTCTGTCTGACCAGCCCTCTGCCCCCCCCACCACTGTGGCAGCTCCACCACGCTGGTGGAGTAAAAGACACTTAATATCTGTTTACAGCATCCTACCTGTTGATTATCTCTCTTTTTGCTCTTTTGGGTAATAGCTTAACGGCTTCAGTTGGAAATGTAGTTATTATATTTGACGAAAAGTTTTCACGTGAAAGTGATCAGACTATATATACTTTTTTTTCATTTTCTTTTGGCAGTTTAACCTTTTGAGATAGGAGACAATACAGAAAGGTTAGGAGAGAAAGAGGGTAACAATAAACACAAATGTAACCCTTAATGCACAGGGCTTATATTGACAGGACTCCATTAACGTTACATCACAATAATATCAGGTCATATTTTATTATAGATACTTTGCTGTGGTTTGTTAAACTACCTAAAACTTAAATATAAAATTCAGACTCAGACCTCACTCAATGTTTCTTCAATGTGTTACCTCTGCAGGTGACAGGGGTTGAGGAGGTGTTTCCTCTGGATTCTGAGCCGGCAGTTCTCCTTGAAGTCTTTCCCTTAATCGTGTAACTTCCTGTCGAAGGGCTCCAACTTCCTGTCCACGCGCCTGAGCCCCGGCCTCCAGCTCCACCTTCTGCTCTATCAGGGCCTTCCCCTGAGCCTCCACCACAGAGATTTTATGGCGCAGGTCGTGGTTGATTTTTATGAGGCGAGACTGCTGCTGCTGGAGCTGCAGAAACACGGATAGACAAGGGAGGATGGATACTTTTTAACAGAAAAACTGGAAGAAAAATATAAAGGTACAAATATATTTTAAAGCTGCATTAGGGCAGATTTATTTTATAAACATCTGTATCATATGTGTATAAGTGCTGTGCCCCAACATTTGGTTTCTAAGAAGTCAGCGAAGGAGACTTTTCAACAAAAAGTCTCAAAGAGGAAATCACATATAATTTATTCTGATTCAAACATAAACATGTTTGTATTCCAGTTGGAGAAGCTGGGACTAGCAAAATTGTATAGCACATATATTTGTTTTGTATTTTTGTCCACTAAATGTTTGACTCATTCAATTAGAAGGGCAGATCTCTGCCAGGTGTGTCGACACATGACCGAACAGATCATCTGCCCACAGGGTTACAGCTGGCAGAGCTCACTAATCCCTGCAGCTCCTACAGGAAGAAATACTGCAGCTATGCAAGATAATCAAATAACCAATGTGATACCATTAAAAATATCACTACTAAACCATCAAAATAATGAACGTTTTTGGAGCTTGATCAAAACATAATAGAGTCAATGTATGTCCCCTCACTGCTTCTATGTCCTCATTCTTCAGTGTGAGCTCTCGGTCCTTGGCTCGGATCTCGTCTCTCTGCTTGTCCACCACTTCCTTGAGTTTCTTCATCACCTGCCTCTCCCTCTCCGTCATACCTGTGACCACAGAGAGCAGGCGGTGAGGAGGGTGTGAACACACAGGCAGATTTAGATCATAAATATGTATTTATTTAACTTTAATTGGAAGATAAAAGTTATTGATTTGTACATAGGGAACCGTGATTCATGTGCGGGCAAGCATGACTGCATGAGAGTATATGTGTGTGTGTGTGTGTGTGTGTGTGTGTGTGTGTGTGTGTGTGTGTGTGTGTGTGTCAAGCAGGTGTGTCTGTACACTGAGGCTGGTCTGTGGTCAGGGTGACTGTGTCCTCTGTATGAAACCACGAAAGAGCCTCTGATGCAAAGACAAGACTGGCTCGCAGTCAGACACAAGAGAAGGACTTCTTTGTGTGTGTGTGTGTGTGTGTGTGTGTGTGTGTGTGTGTGTGTGTGTGTGTGTGTGTGTGTGTGTGTGTGTGTGTGTGTGTGTGTGTGTGTGTGTGTGTGTGACAGTTTTAGAGAGAGGGGGGGGTAGTGAAAATGTTAGTGAAGGATTTCTGAAGAACACAAACAACAGGTAGCAAATAAAATGTAAATCAATAAATCTGTACCAGCTGTAAAAACAAGTTTCCTGATGGGACTAAATGTCATTCATAAACATGTGATAAGTAATATTCCAACACTCTGGGAGATGATTTGCTTTCTTGTCTGGAGTAAGACAAAATTAATATTCATGTTAAAATAAATATGAACAAATAAGATGCAACTTGTTAATTAAAAGGCTTTAGATTTCCTTAACTTCAGACAGAATCAGGCTAACTGTTCCCACCTGCTTCAAGTCATTATGCTAAGCTAAGCTAACCCTCTAATTACTCTAGGTTCATATTTCCTGTACAGATCATTAAAAGATCGGAGTACTTCTTCCACTACTGGCTGCATTATTGATTAATCTGCTGACTATATCGTTCAATCACTTGGACTTTAAAATGTCATTTTTTTTAGAAAAGTCAATCAGCATCCCAGACAGGGAAATATGTCGGTGTCTTGTTTGATCTAAACAACAGTCCAAAGACCAAAATGCTTCCTGTGTTTCAGTCTGAGTCTGCAGTCTGGTCTGTCCTCCTCACCCTCATGCCTCTGCAGGTCCTCCTCACTCATGGGGTCTTTGTTGGACATGTTGGTGAGGAGGGACTTGTTCTCCTCCTGCAGCTGAGCGATCTGAGAGAGCAGGTCCTGAGCTTCTCCTCTCCACACGTCCTCCACCAGCTCCAGCTCCTGCACCCAGGCCATAAAACACACATTAAGTTTTATGTAAAACATTATTGAATATGTGTTATTTAGACACAGTGTATGATGCGCTCAGCGTCTTTGTCCTTCAATTTGGTAAAGATTCCATTATTTCAACAAATATTTGATGGATCGCTGTTTGTTCCGACATTCACAGAGGTGCAATGTGACTAAGTACAATTACACAAGTGCTGTACTTGAATACAAATGGGAGCTACTTGTACTGAAATTGAGTATTTTATGCAATTTTTCATAACTCTTCTCCACAACAGAGGGAAATATTATATTTTTACTCCACTGGTTTTATCTGACTATCAATGTGCGTGGTAAACTGAAGGATAAAGTGTTTCAAGTTTCAAGGCTATATTGTCATGTGCACATTGGCTACAGAGAAGATATGGCAATGAAAAACTTAAGTCCCAGGCTCCTCCAACAGTGCAACATGGATATACATAGGACATAAAACAATTAAAACAGATAAAATAGTGCAAGAGAATGTTTGAGATGTGCAAGTAAATACAAATAAAATAGAAATAGTGCCAGAAGAGTCTATATACAAGTAAAGTGTTTCTTTATGTGTTAAAACCTTCTAGGATCAGGTGAAAGTGAGTTAGCCACAGCAGTTAAAATGCAACATACACATTAAAGCAGCACTAATATATGTATAGTTTAGGTACATTTGGCTGATAAACGTACATAGGTGAGTTTTGAATGCAGATGTCTACTTGGAAGTATTTTCACAGAGCAGTATCACTACTTATATAAATGACCTAATACTTCTAATTTCCATCAAACTGTTTAGTGACCTTTTTGCTCTGTATTAAATCAACAGCAGTCACTATGTTTCTCTGCTCGTTAAATCAAGTTCTCTCTTTAATGGTGCACCCATCTGTATAATAAGAAGTTGAGTGTGCTCTTGAATGTGATTCTGTTTCACACATGATGATATTACATGCCAGACAGCATGACTGAGGAGCCATGTCGAGATCTGATAACAATGATCCAGTCGAAAGAAGGAAAAGATTCAATCCACAACTTGTTTTCATCTAGTAAGTAAGTAAGTAAGTAAAAGTTTATTTCTAAAGCACCCATCCCAGCACGAATGCACAGAGTGCTGTACAAAATATAGCAGTCAAAACAATTAGGCCAATATGGCACTAAGGCATAGTAATAACAAAGCATAACATGACAGGAAAATAGAATAAAAACTTAAAAACAATATACAAACATGAAACCAAGTGCAAGAGGACCAATGATCGACAGTGACAGGACAGTGACGTGATGAACGGCCTAAGACTGCTCAAACGCCTGCTTAAATAAGTGCGTCTTCTGATGCAAAAACAACTGCTAAACTTCAAAAAGTAATTTCACAATGATATGGATACTCCGTATAATTATAATGAAATATGGCTAGACTTTTGTGTGTTGTAGGTTGATGCTAAAAATGTAACTTGAGTTTTCTCAAACATGAAGATTTTATGTTTTTTTTGTCAGACATGATAATAAATTAAATATCTATTGGTTTGGGACTGTTGCTTAGACAATTAATTTCCCTAATGCTTGTGTTTGCTCTTATTTTAATCAATATTGTTTATGGGACACTGATGTTTTGCTAGTTTGTTGCCTGTGTTTGAGCATGTGACATATAAAACCTTATAATGACCAAATAATGAATCAATAAGTCCACAAGTTCAGATAACTAAAAGTGATACTCTTGGTTGCCTTCCTTTTCCCGCCCCAGAATACTTTGTTAGCAGAGTTATGCAGCGCTGCTGTATATGTTGTGTTTTCCAAGGAAAAATCATGTAAGCTGACTGTGACCTCCCAGTCACGGCAGAATCAGCCGTTACCTCCAGAAACATCGGCTTTGTCACACTCATGAGACACGGTTAATCAGTGAACCGCTGACTGTTCAACATCGCTCACTCACTGTCACGAGAAACAAGCATATCAACTTCTTTATGGCACTTTAAAACAGCAACACTATTTCAACAGTGTCTGTGATACTAAACACTGAGTTTAATCAGAATTCATACATCTTTTTGAGAGTAAGATTGAGTTTAAGTATTTATTTTGACCTACAGCAGTCAATGTATTTTTTCCCATTTTGGCTTTTGACCTCTTAAAAGTAATGTCTCGTGAGTAATAAGATATTTTCTTGGATGACTAGTTGGAAACAAATCACATATTTGACTAATATAACTGGAGTGTGAAGAGTTTCCTGTTGAGTCAGGGAGATATTTCCCATCAGCTGACATCATCTGTAGCCAAACAAACAGGAAGTAACCCGCTGGGGGAGTTTAATCAAGTAACTTTGTACGTGTCTAAGACCTGCCAAACATTTCATGGTTTCAGCTTCTTAATGTGACTTGCTGCTCTTTTGGTATAGAACACTGAATATGTCTTTGAGCTCCAGGTATTTATGATGAGCAGAGCACTTCTCACTATCTTCCTACATGTTACAGAACCATTGATTATAACCTAATCAATTAAACAACCAGCAGATTAATCAAGGGAATAGTTAAAGATGAGCTAATTAAAGCATTAATTTGCTCCTCAAACGCATGAGTAACAATCATCTATTATTTCCCACTTTGTTTTGCACATTCCTTGAATTATTTTTGCACAATTCTGCACAATAGTACCTCTTAAACTGCACAGTTTTTTCATAGTTATCTGTCAAATCTATATAGTATTTCCCTTTTTCATAATTGTATATTTATTGTAAACAGTTTCTTTCTTTCATAGTTGTTTATGACAATAATATTTTCCTAATATTTTTTCAGAAGTTCTATGATTTTTACATTTTAATTGTCTTACTGTATGCTCCATTATACACACCAAAGCAAATTCATTGTATGTGAAATACTACTTGGCTTTTATTAACATTTAAAATCAGGACTGTTACTTGTTATTCATTGGTACTTTTACTTATAATAAAGATTTTCTTTACAGTATTATTTTTTTATAATGAAATTGGGCACTGTGTGGCTCTGTTATGGTTGGTTTCTTCTTTACTTGTAATGGAGTATTATATTTTATAATGGTATTGGAACCTTTACTTTTCCATTCAGGACTATAACTTGTAATGCACTACTGTTTTACAGTAGTAAATGTTAACTTAACTTAGTGACCCTGTTTCAGTTGATTTATTTGTGTGCATGTATTAATAGGAGAACAACATGTCAGAAGCAGATTACATCTACATGTCCTGCTTGATTAAGTGTAAAACTGATTGACAGGCTGTCAGACCTTTCGGTGCTTCTTCTCCTTCTCCTGCCGGTCCATCCTCTCCAGCCGCAGCTTGTCCAGCTCCAGCCGCAGCTCCTCGGTCTCCGGGCTGATGCAGTTGCGGCTCACCATTACCTCCAGGATCTCCAACACCCGCACCACTTTGGGCATGAGCCTGGACAGAGCCTCGCAGCCGTACTGGTCTATTATCCGCTCAAACTCCTGGCCCACCACCGCTGCGATGTCGTACACGTCCATGACCGTGAGGTCGGCGACATTTTTCTCCAGGGCCGACCCGGAATCCTCCATGTCGGGACAGCTCGGCCCTCCCCGGTTTCCTATATTGTTTCCTCCGCCGCAGCAAACTTCCTCCCCTAGAAGAACAATTCTGCTAAGTTAGCGTAACTCTACCACTTTACACTTAAAACCTACAAACAGATACACCGTAAAGCAGGTTTAAACACCGTAACTATCGTTTATCCATCTCTAGCGGCTTAGTCCGGGCGTTAGTTTGATTTGTTTGATAAATATCGGCTGTGGCCCATCGCTGTCCTGCCCGTGTCCCTGCTGTTAGCTACTGTAAAGTCCGCCATATTGAAATAGGATACTTCCGGCTACAAATTTCTAAATAAAATCTTGGCCGCAACAATTTGTGTATCTTTGTACATGTCATGTACAATATATATGGCAATGTTTTATTTTTCACTAGTGGTGTTAAGTAATTTAGTATATATTTATATAGATATATTTATCTATATATGTGCTGCATTACTAACCAATTGTGAGGTACTTTATATGAGTAATTCGATACACGAGCATTTTAGAAACGCATCCTTACCTGACTGCTAAAGAAACTTTACAGATTAAGATTGGTTTAAAATACCACATGTGGTTGAAGTCGTGTCCTTGATTTCCGACCTCTACATATTTCGGTTATTGATACAATATTCAAGATTTAAGGATATTCAATTTGTCACATATGTCAAACTCCCAGGCAGTGCAAGATTGTAGGCCTATAGGTGAAATAAACAGAATACATTAAAATCGGAAAATATACGGAGTAAAAATATACAAAATCGTTAACATTAACAAGATAATTTACATTTTTAAAGTAAAAAGTGAAAGCAAAAAATGTTCATTTCGCATAGGTAATCTTAAACAATAATGGAATTTGGTAAAAAAAAAAAGTAAAATCTTAATTTCCAGAAAAACTACAAAGGAAAAAAGTTTCTTGGAGACCCCACGATCGGTCCCACATCATCACATAACCTTGCTGTGGAAATCTAGTCTTAAATACCGGATTACTTTTGTTCAGATTTTGTAATTAGCTTAGTCAGTAGATATTCTTAAATAAAGTAAATTAAATAAAAAGTGCAAACATGAAAGTGAGACACAAAAGTTTGGGAATATTAGCTCGATGGCGCATTACACCCATGTGAAGAGTAATGTGAACCAGGTTTAACTGGTGATTGGTTTGTAGAATCTGCCTTACAATCATCTTTTAGTATGCTTTTATTTTGAAGGCGTTGATGTCTTATTCCGGTATCTATCCCTCCTACAATATTCTAACTGGACGCAGCTTTACTTTGGTCCATGCACAGTGGCCACTTCCATAGTGGTGAGATTGCAGTTTGTATTGCGCATGACAGACATAACAGACAGATGAGGTCGCAGTGAGAATAAATGACAGCATGAATAGACCTTCACTGGTTAGGAACAAGTATGCAGGTCGTTTACTTAACTACTACTAAAAGTATGTAAATAACGGGGGATACAGTTTAATCCCTGCAAAGCAGAAATGAGAAGAAACACATTGTACATTCTGCCTTCGATGATTTGATGATATTTATTAAATCAACTCAGTATACAACAGCAATCATAAACATAAAATAGGCTTCCGTATTATTACAAAAATAAGTTGGAAAATATACATTTGCACAATTAAGTGACATTTTTTTTCTCCAGAGAGATAACATTTGATTTAAATCAGCGATTTTAAAATGTTAAAGTAAGGATGTTTATATTTCCACTGATTTTTAATTGAAATGTCAGAGTCTTCTTCAGTCAGGATTCAAGACTCCCCTGTTCCAGTTTCACCTCTTTTGAACTGTAATAAAAAAAAAAAGACCCAGTTACAACCCATTATCAATATATCCTCTTAATGACCATTTGTATATTATTTACTTACCATGTGTTACCTTGAATGCTTCAAGAAAACTCCACGGTAATGAAAAATCCCAAAATGGAGATTTTTTTTTTTAAGTAAATGGAGGCTTTCTGCAAGTACACATATTACCTAAAACACTTTTGCAAAGCGAGTGATCTTCAGACATGATAGAAGAGGCTTGGATTATACTTCAAAAGTTTCTAAAGTTTCTAAACAGATGTTTAATCTAATTTATATGATTCCTCAAATTAATCCAACTCATCAAGAATTTGTTCAGGTTTTTGGATTATGCGTCCATTGAGGTATCAAAACATTCTTAAATAATTCAAGGTAACACGTGGTGAGTAATTGCAATTCAAAAGATTATTTTGTGGGTGAATCATCCCTTTAAGTATACATCATGAATATCCAGCTCGAGCAGAACGTTTTATAAAAGGTACTCACCGCATTCTTCAACAAGTTTCCAGATTTGGTAAAGATGTTGGGTTTTCTTGAGGCTGGTTTGACGGTCTCTGCGTTCTGCGGGTCTGCCCGGGTCAGAGACGGAGACTGAGGCCGAGAGAGGCTGGGGGAGGTTTGAGTGGAGGGCGTTGACAGCGAGTAAGACTGAGGGTTTAAGTAAGTCGTGCTTGGTGTGTAGGGCTGAGGTGTGTAGGGCTGAGGTGTGTAGGGCTGAGACGGCATGAAAGGCTGAGACGGGATGAAAGGCTGAGAGGGTGTGTAGGTCTGAGGAGGGGTATACGTTTGGGAAGGGGTGTGGATTTGAGAGGAAGTAGAAGTCTGGGAAGGAATGTAGAGTTGAGAGGAAGTGGAAGTTAAGGAAGGGGTGTAGAGTTGAGAAGAGGTGGAAGGGGTGTAGATTTCAGAAGAGGTGGTAGTTAGGGAAGGGGTGTAGATTTGAGAAGAGGTGGTAGTTAGGGAAGGGGTGTAGATTTGAGAAGTGGTGGTAGTTAGGGAAGGGGTGTAGATTTGAGAAGCGGTGGAAGGGGTGTAGGTTTGTGCCTGTGGTAGTGTTGGTGTGTATGACTGAGGCTGTGTTTGAGACGGTGCAAACGGATTAGTATGTGTGGTTATGTAAGGCTGTGTCTGTGGGATGGACTGATTTGCTGTCGGGGAATCGAGCAGAGTAGGTGGTGGTGGCGGTGGGAAGCTGTCGGGATCTTCGTCTGCTTCATCGACAGAGGAGTGGAGCTCGTAGTGCCTCTTCCTCAGCTCCCCCAGACGGACCCTCTCCTGCTCCAGCTGGCTCTCCAGCTGCAGCACCCGCACCTGAGAGATTTAAAACATCGTAAGCGACCTCCAATCGACAACAAATAATATCAAGATGATACATTTTGGGACTTGAAAGCCTCACCTGAGTTTCCATCTCCTCTGTTTTCAGTTTGATCAAAGATCTGCCAGAGAAGTCCATCAAAACTGCAAAGACATCACATCAATTATCAGTAAACCAGATTGCTGTTACATTTAGTAGAAATTCCTGATCCCCAGAGGATGAATCCTGACGATTTAGGTGAATATTTCTCCAGCTCCATAATAAGATTCATAAAGTCAAAATGTAAATATCCTAAAAACAATTGTGGCAGCGGGGTGTGGTTCTCGCTCACATGCAGGAGACCACCACAGCATTACAGCGACAGCAGAGCGAGGCTCTGCTCGGGATCGCCTCGAGCCAGCGCGAGGACTGGGCTCTCCTACGGGAGCTGCTGCAGCGTCTGGCCGCTCGGGAGGCCGATCCCGCTACCAACCCGGCCCGACCGCCTTCAATTGCCCTCCAGAAATGGACGGCAGAGGATGATCCGGAGGCATACCTGGACATCTTTGAGGGCACAGCGGCGGCGTGCGGGTGGCCGGAGGAGGAGTGGGCAGCGCGGCTTTTGCCTCTACTATCTTGGGGTGCGCAGCTAGCCGCCCACAGCCTGCCAGCAGCCTCTCGGCATGTGCCATCCTGGACCGGCTTGGCAGCACGCCAGAGGGACATTGCCACCGGTTCCGGGCCCTCCCCTTCGAGGACGCTGAACGGCCCTTCTCCTACGCGCAGCGGCTTCTGGATGCAGCGAGCCGCTGGCTCCAGCCGGGGCTGCGCTCCGCTGAGGAAGTCGTCGGGCAGGTGGCGCTGGAGCAGTTAATCGCCGGCCTGCCATCTTCGACGGCGAGTTTGGTCCGGTGCCATCGCCCCGCCAACCTGGAAGCAGCCGTCGTCCTCGCGGAGGACCACCTCTCGCTTCCCCGGCGGAGCATGAAAGAGGAGCCCCGACCACCAGCCGTCTCAGCGGACAGACCCGTCCCAGCCCCGAGGAGGAGGTTTCCTGGAGCAGCTGCCCTTCCCTCCCCACCATCACACGGCCCCAACCCCGCAGCCCCGACACTTTCCCCCCTAGCCCTACCTTACCCTCCTGTTTTTATCTCTCCCCAGGGTCCGGCCTACGCTTCTGGTCGTCCGGCACCACGGGGGGCTCCTCAGACGTCAGGGCAGGATTGCTGGCGGTGCGGGCAGCCCGGCCACTTCCGACGGGAGTGTCCTCTCATGGAGGTCGGACAGCTGGTTCGGGTTGCGGGACCGCCAGTTGCCTCCCCCGATTTGGAAGGGACGTACCGTATACCGGTATGTATACAGGGGGGTACACACCAGGCTCTGATGGACACGGGCTGTAATCAGACGATGATCCATCAGCACCTGGTTCGGCCTGGGGCATTGATTGAAGCATCGTGGGTGAAGGTGAGGTGTGTGCATGGGGATATTCACCAGTACCCGGAGGTGACGCTGGAAATTTCTTATAAGGGGAAAAAGCATAGAGTCAGGGCTGGAGTTAGCACTCGCCTTACGCACCCTCTGATTTTGGGAACGAATTGGCCGGGGTTTGCTAAGCTAGCGGGGGCTATGGGGGTGCGTTCACGGACGGCAGGGAAATGTGAGTTGTGTGCTGTGTTTAGTGGAGAGTCGGAGGCGGCTGACGACATCGAGGGGGAAACGGACACGGAGGGGGCCGCGGAGGTCCCTCTGGACCCGCTGGTGTTTCCCGTGGAAGATTTCCCCCTCGAACAGTCGAGGGACGAGACCCTTCAGCACGCCTTCGGCCAGGTGGTGAGTATTGATGGCTCCCAGCTACACCCAAACGCAGCACTCACTCACCCACACTTTACGGTGGTTAGGGACAGGTTGTATCGTGTAAGCCGTGACACACAGACAGGAGAGATAAATACCCAGTTGTTGGTGCCAAAAAGCCGTCGGGAAATGGTTTTCCAGGCGGCTCATTATAACCCCATGTCAGGTCACCTAGGGTACGACAAATCACTACACCGGATAATGGCCCGATTTTATTGGCCGGGCATTCGCGCAGATGTGAAGCGGTGGTGTGCATCTTGCCGTGAATGTCAGCTGGTTAACCCGCCGGCCATCCCCAGAGCGCCTTTGCGCCCGTTACCATTGATTGAGGTGCCTTTTGAGAGAGTTGGAATGGACCTCATCGGGCCATTAGACCGGAGTGCACGGGGATATCGCTTTGTACTAGTCCTAGTGGATTATGCAACGCGATATCCCGAGGCAGTGCCGCTGCGTAATATCTCTGCAAAGAGCGTCGCGCAGGCACTGTTTCACATTATCTCCCGAGTCGGGATCCCGAAGCCCAGGCCACACAGTTTATGTCACGCACACTACGCGAGCTGTATGAACTATTGGGCGTCCATTCAATACGGACTAGTGTTTACCATCCGCAGACCGACGGCCTGGTGGAACGGTTTAACAAAACACTAAAGAACATGGTTCGTAAGTTCGTTCACGAAGATAGCCGTAATTGGGATAAATGGCTAGATCCTCTGTTGTTTGCAGTGCGGGAGGTGCCCCAGTCCTCCACGGGATTTTCTCCCTTTGAGCTGTTATTTGGCAGGAAGCCCGGGTGTTTTGGATCTAGTTAAAAAAAACTGGGAGGAGGGTCCAAGCACCAGTAAAAACGAAATACAGTACGTTATGGACCTGCGAGCAAAACTCCACTCACTGGGACAGATATCACGGGAGAATTTGCTCCAGGCTCAGGAACGTCAGCAGCGCCGGTACAACAGAGGGTCGAAACTGAGACAATTTTCACCGGGAGATAAAGTGCTTGTATTACTCCCATCCTCTAGCTCTAAACTACTCGCCAAGTGGCAAGGACTCTTCGTGGTCACACGACGAGTGGGGGACGTAGATTATGAGGTGGTGTGTTCTGACAGGGGGGGAGCAACACAGATTTACCACCTTAACCTCCTGAAAGCATGGAGGGAGGTGGCGTCGGTTTCTCTGGCCACCACGGTGATTGAGAGAGATGAGTTGGGACCGGAGGTCATTAAAAGCAACAAATTAGCCCCGGTCTGTTGTGGCGACAATCTCTCAGCGGGCCAGAGAGCAGACGTTGCTTCGTTGCAAAGGCAGTTTGCCGACGTGTTCTCTACGCTGCCAGGGCGCATCTCTCTCATACACCACCGCATAGAAACGCCCCCGGGCGTGGCCATTCGTTCACGGCCCTATCGGCTGCCTGAACACAAGAGGAAAATTGTTCAGGCGGAGCTTCAGGCTATGCTAGAGATGGGAGTGATAGAAGAGTCCACCAGTGACTGGTGTTGCCCCGTCGTGCTGGTACGTAAGTCCGACGGGTCAATCCGGTTCTGTGTGGACTACCGCAGGGTGAACGAGGTGTCCAAATTTGATGCTTATCCAATGCCCCGGGTCGACGAACTCCTGGATCGGCTAGGCACTGCTCGCTTTTACACGACGCTGGATTTAACCAAGGGCTATTGGCAGATTCCCCTTTCTCCAGAGTCTAAGGAAAAAACGGCCTTCGGTCCTCCACGAATGGCGTCCCCCGCGGCTGGCGGTGCTTACCGCTCCGTGAGGGAAAAGTGCTGCATGACATCAAGTGGAGGGAGAACCCGCTCGAATGCCGATTCAACGATGTCATGGCCCGCAGCTGTGGGGAGATGCACGACGCCTGTTTTTGCCCGGGGGTGGGGTGACCGAAGCTCCCAGCCAGACGGTGTGTTTTTCCTCTCTCTTCCAGTTCGTCCTCTTATGTCTTCGCCCGAAATGGTGTCTCCCGAAAAAATTGGGCGAGAGTTTGTGGTCGACTGTGGCGAGGCAGGTGACCTGGCCTAGACTTCGTGGGAAAGCCAAGTCCAGCCAGGTTCCCCTGACCGTCGAGGCTTTTCCTGCCCTACTTGGGCGGGACATCATCGGCCGGTCGGGTACTTGGAAGGACTGGAGAAAAAAGCAGAACCGCCGGTCTGTCCCGACTTAACCGCCAACAAAAGAGATAGACACCGGCGTGGACGGGCGGCGGTTCACCATGGGGTCTATGGCATGGAGGGAGGCAGGTTGGCGTGTGAAGAAGCCCCAACCGGCACTCGGGGGCGGACGGAGTCCCTGAGCTCGTGGCGGGGGGTGGACGACGTATACGACGAGGGTACAGAGTGACACTTACTACTGTGTAGTAGGTTCATTCGTCGTCGTATACGTCTCACCCCTGCGTCGTGGGCCAGGTACTCGGCGACCTTCCACCGACCTCGAGGGCTTGTTGGGCTTTCCTTCACACTACTTAACCATATTTGGTATGCCTCCACC